CTCCTCGTCGGCCTTCCCAACTTTTCCCTTCACAAGCTGCAGATCATCCAAAACTCTACAGCTTGTGTACTCTTGTGCACCAGGCTTCGTGACTCCATCACTCCTACCCTCGCCCGACTCCACTGGCTCCCCATCCCCAGAGGATCGAGTTCAAGGCCTTGCCCCCTCCTACCTCTCTGACCTGCTGACTCCCTACCAACCTGCCCTCTCCTTCCGTTCAGCGGGCTCCGGCCTGCTCCATGTCTCCCGCCTGACCCACCCTACCATCAGCCTCTCTGCCCCTACACTCTGGAACTCCATCCCACAGTCCCTTCGCCTCACTTCCTCCCTCGTCTCCTTCAAGTCCGGTCTGAAGACCCTTCTCTTTGATTGTGCCTTTGGTCGCCCTCCCACCTCTCTTCCTTCCCTCACCCCTACACCACCCCTCCCCCATACTCGGGCCCCGACACCTGACTGTTCATCACTTTGGGATGTCCTCCCGGCGTGAAAGGCGCTCTATAAATGTAATTTTGTTATTGTTGTTGGTAGTTTGTGTCCTACGATGGCAATGTCTTGCAGTTCGAAGACATTACACTAATCTTATGGTCATTCAAATTGTTTCTGCAACTGCCTCCTGGCTCCCCTTTGGAAACTACTGATATTAAAGGCAACCACTTAGAGCAAAGTTCACAAGCCACATCTGCCCTAATTTGGTGAGTGCTGAGAATACCATCTTGGTCCTTCTAGGTGGAGTCTCTACTCCCACGCTGGGTCCCAAATTCTCTTCTTCGTCAGCCTCTAGTTTTGTGTGAAGGATGTAAACTGAAGAATCAGGAGAGCAACTACGTACGTGGCAGAGTCTGAAATTGCAGCATCTTCTCCGTACTGCAGTCACACCCTACTTTCCTCCCAGGCCCTGGGGTAGTGCAGTGTGGGTGTGTGTGTGTGTCCCTTCACTTGGAAGTTGGGGATTCAAACAAGCTAGCAAGCAAAGGGATGGAGCCTCATTTATCTAGCACGTTGGAACAGTGGGAACTGCATGGGTGAGACCTCAGAAACATCACTCCTGAGATTATTTTTCCCCTGGATTGATATAATACTGGTGCTGTCATCTCCAGAGATGTGTGGAGGATGGTACAGTAGGAAGTATGAGAGAGATCTGTGAGGATAATGTTGTCAGTGTTGTGAGGACTGGCATGCCATTAGTAATCTCATAATGATTTTCCTTTACAATGTAGACAGGATTGTTATATTTAAAAAAAATAGATTTGACTTTGCTTACCACCTTGAGTAGACTGAAGAGGGTGTTTTGACAGTAAAAGCAATGAGCTGTACAGTATACCACGAGTGGCACAAGATCTACAATTGATTTATTGCAGATGCAAATTTAAAACAAATTTAAATCAGGTCAGACCTTGCCCAATATGCTAGCTTTATATATCTGCTTTGTCTAAAAATATGACGAATGATTCCAGTAATTTCTGTGACCCTGTATTTGATGCTAACTGGACTCTGATGAATGAGTGACTTTATATGTACAGATCCAATATGTACTAACAGAGGTCGACATCGGGAGTCTATTGGGGGTCAAGTTTAAATAAAATTACTCTCAAAGCAACGTTCACTGAAGGAAACTTTGTTAGAAGAGGTATTTTAATCCTAGCCTGAATTCAGTTTAGCATAATTGAAGAAATTTAGGGATGATTGAAGTGGATTAAATAAGAACTTAATATGGTTTATGTAGTATATTTCCAGCTTGTTTCAGAATTGAGCTCCTAATGCATGCAGTACTGAGGAAGCAATGCGTTGTTCTTAAGATGAGAGATTCAGACGAGATCGTATCTGGCAATTCTGTTGAGACAATTCAGGTAGACTTTAAAGAACCTGCAGCACTATTTATTTTAAAGAAGTGCAAGACATTTTCCCCTTGTCCTAGCAAATATACATCTCACCCAACATCATCCCCCAAAAAGGCCAAATTGCAGGAGTCATTTTTCAACCTAACTCATTGTGTGAAACATTTTGAGATGTTCCCATGGAAGAAAAGAAGGTGCAGATGTTTCCTAACATTTAACTGGTAATGAGAGGAGCTGAGGTTTATGAAATGTGATAACGTGGTTTTTTGTCTGCTCCTACATACTCTGTGTTTGTGGCACTTGTAATTTAAGATCAGCATGTCTGTACATAATAGTTAAAATTAATCATTTGTTATAGGGGAAGTATTTAACAAACTCTAGATGATATTGTAAAGAATAGTAGTGTGTTTAAGTAACCATTCCATTCAGAGGATGTCAATAGTATATATTACATTAGAATATATTAGAATATACAACACAGAAAACAGGCCATTCGGCCCTGCTGGTCTATAGTAAACTAGCATTTTGTTCTTACAGTTTATTATATCTTCAGAAATGTTTATAATATCTAATTGTATAAAAAGTGCCCTGTTAGATCAGTTTGCCAAAGAAAAGTTGATCTAAGCAGATTTCCCTACGTTTTTGCTGCTAAATGAAAGTGTGGATTCTCATTTCTGCCACTAGAGTTCACTTATGCTGTAGCAATTTAAGTGCATTAAAGAGTTCAATACAAATAGAATTTTTAAACCTACAAATTCTCGCAGTCAGTAACTTTGGGATAAGGATAAGCAAAGCAATAATTAAAACATCTCAGTTGCTGATGTTAATTGGGTTTGATTGGTGGAATTGATTAGCCAGACACTGATTTCAGAAGTTAGTGTTGTTTTAGGATGGTATACAATGATTGTGCATGAAAATTATAGCCTGAGTAACATCGGTCTGCCTGCGTACATCTTCAGCACAATATTTATGAAACAGTAGAAAGCTTTGATCTTAAATGGGTAAATCTCAATGCTGAGATTTATAGGAATCCAGCATTCCAATGATTAGAACTTCTCTGCTGCTTGTTTACTCTCTCTGTGTGGAAACACTTGTTGCTACAAATGTGTAGTGGAGTCTGTCTTGTATTAGTTGGGCATTAGGTTTAGACATTCACAACCCTAATCATTACCTAAAGCTGCCTTGCTTTGCTGTGTGTACACTACAAAACTGACACAAATCTGCACATGCTGTAAGGCAAGATAGACTGAGCCCCAGTTGAGTACATTATTTTATCGCCTAATCATGCATGTGTCAGTGGACCTCTTGCAGCATCGTTCCCTTTTCCTCCTCCTGTCCGTTCCCCAATCTCTCCTCTGCAAAGTCTGTTGTTGGTCCTTGCTACCTTAGTCCAGAATCCCCATAGTGCTTTTCATTTACTTGTATTTTCGCAATAGTTTGTAAAATCAGATTAAAGGCTTAGATTAGATCCTTCAAAAGAGTTGAAATATTAACTTTAACTTGGCTTCTGCTTTTAGATTAGTCATTGGTATTTTCATTCAATCTTTCTCTCTTCCCCAACTATATTACTGACGAGACGGAAGGAGATGCCACACTTTGTAATCAAACGCTTGAAGTGATTAATTAGGAAAGAGCAGACCAGTAAAGAGAGTAGTGGTGACCGAGAGTTGGTTACAATAGCTGCCTTGACTGTCCTTTCACCGCAGCCACTTCAGTGTGCAAGGTTTTCCACTCAATAGTTGAGTTATAGTCATGTAATATCAAAGAAGCAAAACCTAGTAGGACTAGTCTCGTTCTACAGAAACATCCTGCCTGAAACTCACAGCCAAGAATTAGCAACAGTAACTTAATGTGCTTTTTAAATAATACATCTTCACTTAATCTTGTATTAAGTGAAGATGGATAATTTAAATATTGTACTAAATTATTGTCGTTATTTATATAAAATCTTTATTGAATTTCCATCCATACTAGAACAAGAACCATACATGTTTATAATGTTTTACTGAATTGTGACTGACGAAAAACTAACTGGCTTTATACATGATGTTGCTGTGTGTATCTCACTCTAGTAAAGCGCTCTGGGACTCTACCCTGTGTGATGGATACTATATAAATGCAAGCTGTTGTTGTACGTTTACAAGATTTCATTTAATACAGAAATTTGAAGCCATATTTTACTGAACTAAATCAGTTAGATCCCTGCACAATTTTGTGTTGTTTTATTAATTGCTTCCTTGCAATCTTTTAACACACAAAACAGTAAGGATTTTTATAACACTGAGTTCACCGTTTACTTGTGACTTTCACTTTTGAAAAAAAATTGAAATTAGGAATGTTTTTTTATATTGTCTACATTGAAACTCTTGTTAAGCATTGTGGAGTTTAAATCGGTCTATTCTCCAGTATTTCCTCTTTTCTTCTCCCCCATTTTTCCCAACTGGAGTGTGGTTCCATGCCCTACACCCTCTGCTAACTTGCCCAAGTGTCCGTTATGATGTGTGATTCTTGACATTGAGCATTAGTAGACTATCTGAGGTGGAGAAGGGGTTACTATCGGAGCCTAGGCGTGTCATTAACTGAAGTTCACACAATTGTTTTACAGCTAGAGTTGACTTTCCCCTCACGAGCTCAGAGGAACACAGGCCAATTGTTGCACTGCAACAGCTGCCCTGGGTGAGATCAGTTAACTAAGCCCAGATACTTCACATTTTGATGCCTTTCACTGAGCTGTCTGCACTTGTCTGCATTTCAAACCTGTCTTGTTTTGGAAAAGTCAAAATAAAATTGTTCATGATTTAGTGCAGATTAACCACCAGCTAATTAGTGTGTCTGTTTGTCAGGGAAAGCCACAGATATTTTGCTTATTGAGAGTGGATGAGATTGTTTTAATTCCTGCCAATTTGTCTTCAACTCATTGGTTCGATAAGAATTCTCCCCTTTCTGATTCTGCTTCCTAATCTGCATTGGGAATTGAGTGAAAATCAGTGGGCTGCATAGGACAGTTTTAAAATGCTTGAAAGATCAGATATCTCGAAAGGTGTTATTTTTTAGCTCAGTTAATGTAAATTGTGTCTTGCATCAAATCGCCCTTTTTCATATTTGTGTGCACGTGTGGTTTTGAGTTTAACATCACATACATCTTTTTCTTTTCATTCCGTGTAGCTGAAACTCTGGGGTGAGTATATTTACTGGAAATGTGACATTGGGTATCCCAGATCAACGCAAGAGTGCATTAAACCGTCTGAGCAGCAGCATCCCACAACTGGAACCTGGAATGAGAGTTCAGTTGGACAGCGGGGTCCCAGCCAGCTTCCACTTTCTTGGTTACAGCACAACATAGGAAACACGTTTTCGGGACTTAAAACCTAGGCCGTGCTTGGAAACTGCCAGGAAAACTGGGCTGTGACCAAAGAAGAATCTTAATGAAGATCGACATCAATTTACTCTGTGGTGATTGATCATTAACCTGTTCATTGCTGGGCTGTCAAGTGCATCAGCCAAGAATTCCCATGTGCTGCATCCCCAGAGTTTTACAGCATAAAAGAATGACACGAATTTCAGACAGAACAAAAGGAATCTTTTTTTTTGTCTGTCATTTTTTCCATTTTATTTTTTTCATCTCCTCTCCCCCGGAAAATAAGACAAGTTAACTTGATTTGGGATATTTGAGAGTTCCATGGTTACTAACTCAGTAATTGTATTGAAGATGATGTATATGATAGGCATGTGTAATCTGAACCTTCTCTCTTCACTGGTGATCTTTCAAAATCATCATCTTGATTTGGGGCTTCTCATTATTCTGTAATATTCAATACATTTCCAGACTACTGTCACTATTTATACTTGTATGAGACTGTAGGAACATAGTCTTCCATAGGTACTTAACACTGTTGACCTAACACTGTTGTGTCTCTATAAATGAATAGCGAGTGTATTGTTTTAATAATCTGTGTTGATTGGAGTGAAAAACGTATTAGCCTGTGGACAGCAAAATCTACCAGGGTAAGTTATCAAATCCTGGCAAGGTCTCCAAATGAGACTATTCTTCAGCATCGGAGACCAAGCGAGGAATGCCCAGGCGTTAAATCAGAACACGGCCAGATTCTGTTCAGTTTTAATCTCTCTGTCTTGCAATGTGGTTTAAATAAGTTCAGTCAAGCTCAAGGTTACTGGGGTGTAATACAGTTGATGGCTATTCTAATTTGGAGGATTTAAAAGCAATTACAAAATTTCAAGCAATTTCAAACCATTTGCTTAGGACAACAATAGCGAGGCAGCAGGATTACTGTTAAAGCACGTTAAAAGGATTTCAATTTTGCCAATTTTACATTGGAGCCATATTATGGGAAGAGAACAAAATACTATTCAACACAATTGTTTAAATTATAAAATTGTGAAACGTCCTCTCATTGTCCATTAGTTTCAGATACAGATGTACAATAAATAAAGATTGAAACCTCAGTCATGCCTTTGACTGGAGCAATTTTGTACTTAGGTTTGAACTGAATGAATTTCAGATGGTTTCAAACTGTTGGATATAGTATACCTTCTAAACCCAAAAGAGCAGGCTGCTTGGGGCCACAATCAATACCACTCCATCATTTATTGATTGACGATGCATTCTGGAAACGGTAAAGTAACTGCTATTTTCTTGCCAGCTTTCTCAAGAATGGTCTGCTCATTCCAGAGCTGAAATAACTCACTCCAAAGCTACACAGTAACACGCATGGAGACTGACTGGCTTTTTTGACTGAGAACATCTGGGCTTCTGGCTGGTGGACATCTCACTGCCTGCCAGTCACAAGCTCGACATCGGGGAAGGGCATCTCATAGAAATTCAGTAGATGCCGTACAATGTAACACAGCAAAATAACTTGATATTATTCCAATAACCAAACTCGTCCTGTGGAGTAGGACACACACGGTAGAAAATTCAGAGCTGATCAGTGAGGGTATTAAGGTTCTATACAAATATCTCAGCAGTAATTATTTTTAAAAATCAAATTTGTTTTCGATGAAAGTTGATGATTTCTCCACTCTTCTCTCCCCCCCAACCTGTTGATCGGTGACAATAAGTGACTAACCTTTTTTGTAGAGATTTTTGTTCTTTATGACGTCCTGGTTCTGTTTGGATTGAAGGTAATGATCTCAGTAAAGTGCACTAGCAGGCAGGCGGACTAGACATTTACCTTCTAATTTGAGTCTTGATCCTGTCACTGTTATAAAGTAATCCTTTTTAAATATTTCTACTGTGGGAAAAGGGCTGTGAATGCTGTGTAGACACTAAGCAGAGCTTACTGGTGTATATTTTGTTCTCAATTTTAGATAAATCTGATGGGTAGCGATGAGTCTAATAACGTATTGCTGGGTGTTAATTTTTCGGTTCTGTGTTGCAGTACTTCAATGACGTATTTCTGTATATATATCTAATCTAGACTCATGAACAAGTGTTGCAACTGGACGTTTCATGGTACCAAACACTAGGATTTTGTGCAAAAACTAGACTGACCTCACTACAAATAGCAGATTGTAAATATACCTGGGCTTCCAGTCTATGTTTCTGTGTTTTTTTTCATAATTTGTATAATTGGAAATCAATGAATAAAACGGAACCTGAGAAACCATTTGTGTGTGTTTCGTGTGGACAGGGACTAAATATGCTGAACAATTTCACTTTACAATAATTTGATAAACTGTGTTTCTGATAATTCTCAGTGTTTATTGCTTTGTGTTGGTTCAACCTTTTCACTACAACTAATTGTAGGCATTTCCAGTAGTTTCAACTGTCCATTGTCAATTCACTTATTAAGATGATTGCTTAGAGGGTTACATTTGTCATTGTATGTAGAGCTGAGATAACAAATCTTGTAGGTCAGTCCAGATTGAACTCTATTGACAGTCCAGAGATGATGATTGTTCTCCAGGATGACAGTGATCAAGTGTAAGAGGAGCTGTTAGGTACCGAGGCTTAGAATTGCTTGTTGGAATGGGAAAGAAGCTATGATTAGACTAGTTTAATGAGACTAGATAAATTATCAGCATCGTAGGAATGATCCTTCCCTCAGCTGGGTTCAGCATGGATGTGAATGGAGTCATGTATTCAGAGTAGCAGTGGGAATAGGTTAGGCTCTTGGTTGGATATCACTTTTTTCCCACTAAATTGGTTTAAATAAAATCTTTTAACACTAAAATTGCCTTCAATGCCAGAGGGACAAAATATCTATAGCAGGGAAATAACTGGCAGGGTAGTTGTACAGATGGAACATTTGTATTTGATGAGAGCCAAGTCCCCAACAGTGTTTAGTTCAGTGACCGAGGCCAGAAATTAATCAGAATGGCTGAATGAGGACACGGTCAACAATGAAAACCACACTGCCAGGAGCTGCAATCCTGTTATCCTGTAAATTTCACTGTTTTGTCCAATACTAAATAAAATTGGAGTCCTGTAGCTTAGTGGTTAGAGCACTCGCCTCACAAAAGAGAGGACCCAGGCACGGTGATACTTTGGGCAAGTTTCCTTACTCCGCATGCATCTGTTTACCTAGCAGTAAGTAGGAACCCAGTTAGTCGATTGGCAGACCCTTTTTGAAGGGTAATAATCCTTCTTAAAAAATGTTTTAATCATAATTAGGTCACTCAATCAACAACTGTTTGTGGGACACTGCTCTGCGCAATTGACTGCCACATTTCACCCACAAAATATACAGTTGACAATGGCCAGTTGAAACTACTGGAAATACCTACAATTCATTTTACAGTATATTCTGTGGAGCGCTTTGAGACATCTTGAAGACATGAGGCGCTATATCAAAGGTAAGGATTATTATAAATTGTCTGGAATCTCAAACAGATAAAATCAATATTCTGAAGGAAAAATCATTAACTGGTCCAATCTGCTGACAGATACTTAAGATAAAAATGACCATTTACACGAGAAGATTTTTGAAATATGGCATAACTCCTTATTCCTGACCTGGTTTCTCACTGCTTCTATTTTTGAATTGGTACAAGACTTTCTACACAACTGAAAGAGTGAGTATGAAGCTTCCTTTACATCATTTTTAAAAAAAGTCATTCATATCACGGTTGTGTGTGGGAAATTGCCGTGCTCAAATTAACTGACTTCTTCACCCTCAAATACGCAATCACTACACTCTGCAAATTGCCTATGAAACCCTTTGAGACATTTCAATGTTGACTATATTAAATGCGTTAGTGAATTACAAAGAATTAAGGAGAAATACTAAGATTTAATACAGCTCACTAACCAATGTCCATCACCTTCCACTTTGGAATAGAGGATATAGGTTTAGAATTCGAAGCAGGTTATTTTGAACTCTGTTTATAAAATTCTCTTTAAACCTTATTGGCTGTACCAATTACCAATGTTTCAAAGTGATTCCTATGGAATTGCTATAAAGTAAGGTAACTCTACATTTGTAATTTGTATTTGTAATAATAATAATTGCATTTGATATAGCGCCTTATCATGTCTTCTGGACGTCTCAAAGCACTTCACAGAATATACAGTAAAGTGAGTTGACTATATTTTGTGGGCGAAACATGGCAGCCAATTGCGCACAGCAGTGTCCCACAAACAGTCATAGATTGAGTGACCACATTATTATTTTGATTATTATTATTTTTTTGGTGGGATTATTACCCCCTGGAAAAGCGATCCACCAATTGACTAACAACCAGGTTCGTATTACTGCTAGGTAAACAGAGGCGTGTTGAGTAAGGAAACTTGCCTAAGGTTTAACTCCGCCCAGGAATCAAACCTAGGTCCTCTCACCTGCGAGGCAAGTGCCCTAACCTCTAAGCTGCAGGACTCCACAAGTCTGCTGTAGGCGAATACGGCAGCCAATTTGTGCACAGCACTGAAGTGAATGGCTAATTTAATTGCTCGCAAATAATTTGTCCACAGTCTGCTCGATCTTTCCAGATGTTCACATTAGCTAAGCAGGCTAGAAAAATTCCATTGTGAAACTCTGAGGGCTGCCCTTTGCTTGATCAATATATCGATTGGACTCAGGAGTTGTATTAAACCTCAGTATTTGTCCTTCCTGTGGTGAGTGTCTGCTGTCTCCTCAGTGTTCCCCAGCGCCCTGGTTCAGATCGGGAACATTTGAAGCGAGCAATCACTAAGCATTGCTGCACCGTGTTGTCCTGCTGCAGTTAAGCTCTTTGACCGAGCCTTCAGCTCCCCTCTCGACTCTCTACTCCTCCTCGCTCCCTCCCTTCCCTTCCCTCACCCTGACCATTTCCCCCCTCCTTGCTCCCTCCGTTCCCTCCCCTCACCCTGACCATTTCCCCACTGCTCGGGTCCCGACCCAACTGTCCAGGCCTTGGGACGTCCTCCCAACGTGAAAGGCGCTCTATAAATGGAATCTTGTTGTTGTTGTTGTAAACCTTGGGTCTCTGGCAAACCCAGATTATAAATCTCTTCATTCTAAATGAGGGAAAATTCTAATTGGATAAACGCACAGAATGATGGGAGCATTCATATTGAATAAACTGAACATAGAATTGTGCAAAAAATAAACAACAGCCCGAAGAGCTGAAACGATCGCTTTGGTGAAGAGGCTGCATAGCCCTGAGCTGCCTTACATGTATCTGACATGCCATGTTATGGAGCATTTTTCTCTAATGGAAGGTGTCTGAACATTAATCTTTTACAAAGAAGAGTTTTAAGTGACTAGGCAAGCTGCAGCGCGTCACTGAGCAGCACATTATTGCTCTGCCGGTGTATCTGGGGGAGCATTATGCCTCTTATTCCTTTATCTCCTGCGAGTAATTAGGAATAATTTAATTTTAAAAGGCTAGGAATGCCAGCACAAGCCCTCTCTGATGTCTCAGATGCAGATTCTGCAGAAAGGATTCCGGGCACTGGCTCTAATCCTCTAAACTCCAAGACCCCAAGGAAAAAGAAGCCGGTTTCCGTGTATTGACGGGCTGCAGGCTTTTTTTTCCATCTCTCCCCAAATTGCATGTTCGCTTTATCTTGGTTACAGTATCAGCTTCCGGTTACCGGATGACGGTCTCTGCAGTCCGAATAGATTGTCACGCAACATGTTCTCAATAGGTAGTCTTCCTGCCTCCCTCGCAGAGGCTCTCCGATAGAACCATAGATATTTACTGCACAGAAGGAGGACATTCAGCCCATTGTGTCTGTACTGCTATTGGAAGGAACAATCCATTCAGTCCCATTTACCTGCCTCTACCTGCCCCCCCTCCCCGATCCCCTACAATTACTCCTCTAGTGGATATCTATGTAGATCTCTGTTGAAAGAATATGAACCGATCTCAAACATCACACCCGGCAGCGTATTCCACAACCTGAATAAATTGATGCCCTCTAGCAACAAGGGAACACCAACAAGGGAACCATTCATCCTTGGTGTCCTGCGCTGAGGGGAGTTTGGTTGTTATCACAATTTTAGGTTGCGATGAATGTCGCTGTGTCTCATGACCGAAGGTTATAGCATATTTCACCTTTCCCCATTTAGCCACTTGCTGTACACACTTGCTGCCTTTCCTCAGACTGACTGACCAACTTGGTGTCAGATAATAAAGCTCAAGTGGATTTTCATTAAATGCCCATTCACTCTATGGCTGTTTGTAGGACATTGCTATGCACAAATTGGCTGCCACATTCACCAACAAACAAAGCACACAGTCACTCTCAGTATCCGGTATATCGCTTTGGGATTTTGTTGTTACAAATGTAAGGATTATTATTATTAGATGAAGTGCAAGGATTGTTATTAAATATTAAATTCAAAATATACTTTCAGATTGTGACTGAGAGCTTGAGTTGGTACAGGGCCAAAGCATTAACTCCTCTCTTTTACCCTCTCGAACTGTAATGTGGTTGTTTAGGATTGTCCTGAGCTACAGCAGAAACCACAGAGGGAGCAGGAATTGAACCACAAGGGCTGGGATCACTGACAGTTACAGGAAGAAAGGAATTTTAATATTTTTTTAAAAAATAATTAAAAGTTATTGGAGCTACTATGCCAAAAGGATTAGGGGGAAAAAAATGATGTCAAGTTAATAGGAACACGGCCAATAATTTACGGATCAATAGCAGTGCCTCCTAGTGTAGTTACTCACTGACTGACTGACTGCCTGAGAGTTTCTGTACAAAATGTAAAATGACTGTAATGATTTTTGATAAGAATAACAACCCCAATTGTAATGGCAAGTCTAAAAACATTGCATTTTAATTAACAAAAAAGGATTTGATTCTCATGAGGAACGACAGGGCAAAAGATGGATCAGTATTAGATTATATAAATGCAAGTTGTTGTTGTCTGGTGAGTAATCTGAAATAGGAATAGCAAATGGACAGAAAAATAACGTAAATTTATATATTGCCCCTCACGCAGGGTCCAGGAATCACTTTAGTCAGCGCAGTCAGGATCTATTCTACCTCGTGGTGAATGAATGAATGTTTAATGTCCTGTTTCCTTTCTGTTGTGTATCTAGAATTGAGTCAGTAAACGAACTCTTCGTTGATATAACTATTTTTGTTAGCGTACTAATCCCTGGTGATGAACTCAGTCTCTTCTTCCACAGTGTTTGTTGCTGCCTGCCTTGTGTGTACTTTGTAAATCAGATG